TACTAAATAATTCTGAATTCACTTAGGTACATATTCTATAACCTTTAATTGGATTGTTGGATTCCTTTTGTTATTTAAAGTAACTTTTTGCACCTATTATTCACAATATTGAGTTATACAAATATAATATTTCCTATATCAGTAGTATATTTGAATTTGTTCGAACATTTCTGTTTGCTTCAAGGAAAAATATGGGATAACAATAGAAAGTATTAAATTACATACTTTACTTACTTACGCCTGTTACTCCCAATGGAGCATAGGCCGCTGACCAGCATTCTCCAACCCACTCTGTCCTGGGCCTTCTTTTCTAGTTCCATCCAATTCTTGTTCATTTTTCTCATGTCTCTTTCCATTTTCCGGAGTAATGTGTTCTTTGGTCTTCCTCTTTTCCTTTGGCCTTGAGGATTCCATGTGAGGGCTTGTCTTGTGACGCAGTTGGGTGCTTTCCTCAATGTGTGTACTATCCACTTCCAGCGCTTCTTCCTGATTTCTTCCTCCGCTGGGATCTGGTTTGTTCTCTCCCACAGTACGTTGTTGCTAATAGTGTCCGGCCAATGGATCTGAAGTATTTTGCGTAGACAACTGTTAATATACACCTGTATTTTCTGGATGATGGCTTTCGTAGTTCTTCAGGTTTCTGCCCCATACAGTAGAACTGTCTTGATATTTGTATTGAAAATCCTGACCTTGGTGTTGGTTGACAGTTGCTTTGAGCTCCAGATGTTCCTCAGTTGTAAATATGCTGTTCTTGATTTGCCGATCCGCGCCTTCACATCTGCATCAGATCCACCGTGTTCATCAATGATGCTGCCCAAATATGTAAAGGTTTTCACATTTTCCAAATCTTCTCCGTCAATTTTGATTGAATCGATGCATCCTGTGTTGCATCGGAGAATCCTGCTTTTCCCTTTGTGTATATTGAGACCTACTGCTGCTGAGGCTGCTGCCACACTGTTTGTCTTCTCCTGCATCTGTTGTTGCGTTTGGGATAGAAGGGCCAGATCGTCTGCGAAGTCTAGATCATCCAACTGCATCTTAGATGTCCATTGCATTGAATACTTGTGGTTAATTGTTATAATTCAGTAAGAAGAAAATTATTCGAATTATTATGGGACACTATTTTTAGTTAGAATGTTACTGACGTCCTAAAATTATTGATTCATCATTGAAATGAAAATTTATGAATCAATTAGTTATTTTTTTAATAATGAATAATTTAAATTTATATATAATTTGACTTCTGTTTAGGTCAGTTTACTATTCTTTTAAGAATTAATAATGATTACTATTATCTAAGATGATCTGCTTGAATATCTGAGCTACTTGTTCCTGCCATCCAAATATTTCAACAAGTTATCTGTTTCTTTGTTTGTTTTAACAGATCATTATGTCAATTAATTGCCCGACCTATTCAGATGCGTTTTTGAAAAGTTTACAACTTTTCGCTATACAAGCTACATAAATTTGCAATCGGTAATATCATAATGGCTGTCAATATGCATTGAAAAGAATGAATATTATTCAGATCTTGACTTTTGAAATGTTAATATCTAACTGGTGATCACTCAATATTTATCATCAGGATCGATCATGAACATAAAAATGGAAACTCGTTGAAATAGTTTAAGTTGAGGATTCTATCTTGTACGGCTAATAGAATATTGAATAAAGCCAATAATAAATTTGAAAAAATAGGTACCATATAAATGTATTATGAAAATTTCATTGTTTGAGAAGTATTAATTAATTATTTAGTTAGTTTTTTAGTAAGTTTCCTTAGTGAGCCTTACAGAATTAAAGTACGTTCAAAAAAGAATTTACCTAGATATTCATTCATTCATAAATTGTCTTACTTTCATGATAAAAATTAACGCCAATCTATACAATATTCTTAAAAACATTTAATTGATCAATTTTAGTAAATTTGGTTTATGGCTAGTAGTGGAGTGTAGGAGGTGAGTTTTATTCTGTTCGGTATTTATCAGTTGATGTTAACCCCGAAATTTAAATCCAGTATCCATCACTCAGGGTGAATATGTGATTAATGAAAACTGATCATTTACAGACTTTGATATCAACAACAAGAAAGTGTAAAGCCTTACAAACCTAATAAACCAGTTAAAAAATAGCTATGGCAATAAGATTAGTAACAGTTCTATTTGAAAGACATAATTGATTTTAATGAATTGATTCATAACCTCAACAGATGTCTTTTATTAATTTTGATTGAGAAATGTTCTATATCTTCCTTGATTAGAATTCCAAGAAAATTTGGACAATTATACATTAAAGTCATTGACATTTTCTAGAATTATTTTACCATTAATGAGATTTAAAGCTCTTGTATCCGATTTAATCTAGTTTTTGTAAATGTATATTCTTAAGGAGCTGTTTAATACTTTTTATTTTTTTAAAGCAAGAAGTCAGTTCATAAACAACATTATCAAATCTCCATAATGTACCACATTATATTGATAGTTTTAGTAATGAAAATCAACATTTATTTAAGAAAAGTTAATACAAAACATCGTTTTCTTCAAACTAGAAATTGAAAACAATAATGTCAAACATCTAAATATTTAACAAAATCAGATGGATTAATTAACTGATTCAATGGTAAACGGAAATAGGAACAAATGGATATGATTGTTTTTACTTTTTTTTTTAAACAAGAAAAAAATATGCATATTTTTGTACGAAAACTATTTTTAATAAATAAACAACAATTTGAATCAATTATTGATTAACTATTCACTTTTGCATACATAATAGAACAATATTTAGTGAACGATCTTTTTGTGACGCTAAAAGATCTTGAGAATGTTAGTCTACATACAACGGCTAAATGAGGATTATACACCAGTGTGAGGAGTCGGGATTAATATTTTGCAGTTGGTAGTTAGGATTAATAATTAGATTTAAAGTTTTCATCACGGACTGACATCAGCTATAATGCCAAAACTCTATTTATCCGAATGAATGAATTAATTTCTCACCGAAATTCAAGACCTGTTATCGTACATCTGATTGGTTCGTCCATAAATTATAGTCTCACCCAATATTTCAAATGAGCATAAAATCAAAGTATTTTATTTTCGTTAATCTTTAGATATATGTGTAGGTGATTGGTTAATGACTGGTATAAGAAAATCATCGAATCCTAAGTGTTGATAAACTATAATTGATTAGGTTCGCGATAAATTCTTGAAGTTTCAGTAAGAAGTTCTCATCTATAAAGTTTAACCATTTCGTGGGCGAGATAGTCATTATCAATAGGACTAGATTATACTACGATTGATCATAAATTAATTGAATATTAAAATGTTAATCACTTAATTCTAACTCAGTAGTTTATACATAACAAGAATTGAAGATCAGGGATTAGATTACTGGTGAAGTCATTATTACGGAGTTCCATGCCAGGACAAAACAGTTATTGACGTTTTTCTGATTTTATAATGGTACTTAAACTTAATGTCAATCTGTCATTAATGTCAATCACTCACAAATTAAGCTAATCTACAAAAACTATCAATCAAATTACACAATAATCGTTAAAATGATCAATATAAAAATAAAGGGAAACGTAAATATTTACTAACAAATTTACAGGGTAGAAACTAATGTCAGTGTTGAAGGTGAATGTACCATATTTATGAAAATATAAATATGACAAATTCTTTGAACGGTGACTAAATTATTGAAAAGGTTTATAAACTATGTTCGATTTTGTGAGGTAAAGTTAAAATAATAACATAATGTATTATCAAGCTTTATACGATTGTATCATTTAATCCTTCGTACATAAAAATTTAATATTTGAATGAATGAAGATAGGGGTACTTAGGAAAATATTAATTTATTTATAATGAATAATGAAGCGATAAATGGTTCACATGTTTGGTAAACAATTACCAAGTTACTGTTGTATGATTCAGCATATTCTATGTCATCATAACTTTTCTTAAAGTAAGTTAATAAACAGCCTGGTTAATAGTCTAATCAAATTTGAGCTAAAAAAAACATATATTGCCAAACTGGTATGATGGAAAAATGAGTCCTTCAGAGATTTAAATAGCTTCGCATAAAAGTTAACTAATTCAACGAAAAGGAAAGTCCTTATAATTTTCTTCATTATCATTAACCATTAATAGTCTATATGAATGATGAATGAATTTTAAAAATGATATCCAAGGTAATAACAGTATTTAGAACAAACTTTTAAAGTATTAGCTAGTAACTGAAATATTTTATCTGTCATATGGGATTGATAGTCATTTGACAGATATTTTTTCTTATGTTTAATGAATAATTTCACAAGAAATGAATACAAATATATCGTACACTTTACAATACTATCGTTTACCTTATACAATACAACTATTAATTCAGAAATTATTTTCTTTCAAAATAATCAAATTTATTAAGTAGAAACTAAAGAGTAAGTTAGTTTATCTAATACTAAGTTTTTGATGGAGTTTTGTTCTCTGAGCTAGATGGTTTAGTCATGGAGCTTTCAGACAGAAGTCTATCTGAAGTTTGTGCTGATGATGTCGTTCAGAAGAATGATGAAAGCTCCACGACCAAACCATCTAGCTCAGAGAACAAAACTCTAACAAAATCATCCACCTGAGCTACAAATCTTCTCCACTATATAACATGATTATCACAGGAATAAGAAAACTGAATATGAAGTCACTGATTTTTCACTGACTGGATAGAACTGCAATACATATATATATAAATACATTTTACTTTATTTTTAAGAATACCTAGGAACAGATACATATGTTTTATAAGTGTACTTACAAAATAGAGAATGGACAAATATACGTATGTGTCTATATCTGTTATATATGTTTGTGTATTTTTTTCTATGACCAAATGTTTATGATTGTATGCCTGTAAGTATATAAGTCTACACTCGACAGATATGAACACACACACACACAAAGGAATATATATATATATATATATATATATATATATGTATAGTGAAATAAATTTCAGAATTTTCTCCACAACAGAAAAAACACAACTTTTCAACTTTGAGGATTTATTTATTGGTTGAAATTTACCTTTGAGTTATGGATCCTTTATGTTAACAAAGTTGATCTTCTTTGAAAAACAAAACACAACACAAATATCTATTTATATATAACACTGTAAAAAACATTATTAATCTATTCTATTATTTCAAATTGAAGAGATTCGATAAAGTACTTTAAAGAGGACATGAATAAAAGAAGCCCATACAGATTTTACTGTAACACAATTTACATTTTAGGATTTATAGTGAATAAACAAATTTTTAAAAAAAGTTGGAATTAATCTCTACTATTTTAGATAATTTAGATCAGTATGTTAGTAATATGTGTCAGGTAATATTTTGTATTTAATTAATTAATAAGAATAAAAAAGTAATTCATCTCGATTAATTACTCAATAGTATGTTATTCTTCATGGTGCTGGTTCACTGTGATAACATCATTAATGAATGACAAGAAGAAGAGGATGAAGCACATGATAAACGTTTTCATTATCATACTTCATTGTTAATAATATGAATGATAAATCAGAATTGAATTTTATAGGTTTAAGGACAAATAAAAAGATTTCATTTAGAAGTTATCGTAATTTAAGTACTTGTTTACCGGGTAATAACACTTCGATAAATATTGTTCAAGATGATGAGAAATTTCCATTGCCATATGTTCAAATGTCTAAATCATCTGAATCGATTGCGAGTTTAAAACAAGAGAACAATTCATATATCATGTTAGAGACCGGAAAGAAATCGGATGAAACTACTGCTACCACTGTTACTACTACAAGTAATAATAATAATAATGCTAGCTCAGTTATCGGACTTCCCAGCATCAAACGGAATATATTAAGACGACAGCAATGCACAGTTGAACAATTAAAAATATCTGAGTAAGTTAACTAATTAATAGTTTAATAAAACGTTTGTTTCTTAACATTAGTAACTAAATTAAGTGTATTGACTTGGTTATAGATAGATTCGATTGTTCAGTTAAACGAAAGGAAAAAAAGGGATACAACTTTACACTACATAAGCGAGTTTTAAAAACAATTTGCCGCTAAAAAATTACGAGGCGGTAAATCATATTGATTTATAATATGCATTCAGTTTTCTAATAAGAAATATTGAATTTACTGGAATGATTTTGTCAAGTTTATGTACTATTGTTATTCAAGGTGATTTCCATAAAACTAGTTATATAAGCTGGAAAAAAGGATTTAAAACCTAGACAATACTGTTTTATTACTATTTGAGATGCACACAAAAGTATATTGTATTGACAGTAGAATTGAACTACACAACTCATAGTAAGCATTATACCTTTAAGTTAATAAGCCTTAATCTTCCATTCATAAAGATGTATATTTAATTATTAATATTATAAGTAATATATTACAACTACTCTTAATTTCTTTCTAATGTTTTATAAATCATATTGAGCTGATATTTATTTTATGAATATGAATGTAAATAGAAACAATTTGGAATCCTGAGAAAGTTAAGGGAATCAGTTCAAATTATTATGATCTTGTATAAGGAATAAAATGTGATCGGGGGTATATTCCGGTCATAAACATATAGAGAAATAAATAGAAGGTTGATTTTTATGACAGCGATTGATTCTAAATAGTACCATTGAAAGATTTTTATTGCAGATTTATTCTTTTCTGGCTTTTAATACATAAGTAAATGTCTTCTTTTTGGACTCAACACAATACTTGATGATTTTATACATGCATAGGACAGTATATTTTACTGGATCGTATGTCACCCGAGGATAATGCTTCAAAGCATCCCATTCAATTTGAACTACTATAGCTCTCATCTCTGTTAGATAATTTATCTTAATCTCCGAACTATAAAGACTATCATTGTACATTTTTGCTTAATATTTATAAAAATTATTTTATATCATTACTCTTTCCATTCATTATTAAGCATTAATTAGACAGTTTCGTTTTATAAATTTACTAAAACACATTATTACATTACAAACAATACAGAAGACTCAGATGGGGATTTTATATACACGAATGATATAAATTAAAGTTGACATATGCATAATGAAAGAGCTATTCTACATATAATCTAAATAATAATGGTAGATAATAAAATTAACAAACAAGTAAATGGCTTAACGGAAAAATAGTACATTATGTGACCATGAATAGTAATGGATGTTAAAACTTTATTCCTAACTAGTATGTATAAAGCTAATCATACTACCCATTAATAACAATTAGGAATTATTGCTAATAACTAAAATATATTTGTCTACATCAACGTTTTACTTATTAAAGACTAGTATGATGTATTATATTCTTTTATATTGATTAAGTTTCAAGATGTTCATGATGTATTCTGGCCATTAATTCAAATAAATCTATATATCGTGAAACTTTTTTCCAATGTTAAGCGATTATGGACAATCAACGTCAAGCTTTGTACGTGAGCTCGATATTAATTAGGTCTGTTGGTTGAAAAGTAATATCTCATGTAACACTGGATGTTTTGAGTTCAAATCTTGCATGAAATATCGATTTCATTAGAACTATCATAAAATTGAATTCTAAAACTTTTTGTAGATTGAGCCCAACAACTTCACTAGTTATGTTTTCGGACTAAACAATACAGAATGGAATTACGCTGAACTATTTGAGTGTAAACTATTTGAATGGGGTAATGATTTTACACTCTTAAATTGTGTAGAGTTTTCATATAGTAATCATGAAAAAAACTTTGTTTAAACTTACTCTAATCTTTCAAGACATAAGTTTAGTTTGTACTATCAGAATAAGCTTAGAATACTTGATAGTGTATGTTATTTTCAGTGAACAGAAGAAACGAGAAGCTGATATTACTAGTTGGTATAAAATGTTACATGTCATTAGGGTCTTCAGAAATTTATATTAAGATGCATCACAAATGCTTATTTCACTCTCACTGATAAAATCTACTGGCGATTTGATGGAATAGCAAAGAGTTCACAATTGTTTTCCATATTAGCTGCTATTTTTCTAGCTAAACTGAGAAACGGTCCATTCATGCAGCTCGCTAAAAGATCTAATTTAAGTATCAAAATGATAGGTTAATCTAGCAATTCTACGTGTCCTACCAACAGGTTCAAAGATATTATAAAGATTTACAAACACTTGCTTAGAAATATATTGTACTGACAATCCTTTATTTATGTTCTTTATTCTAAAATATGTATTTACTTTAAACATTGATGATTCATTTGTAGGTGTCGTTACAGATTGAAATCATGAGTCAGTTGAAGCTCGACCACCATTGAAAACCTGGAAGCACTGGACGGCCTTTTCGTCCTAGTATGGGACTCCTCAGCAGTGCGCATTCACGATCCCGCACCACACGGGGCTCGAACCCAGGACCTACTGGCTTCGCGCGCGAGCACTTAACCATTTGACCACTGAGCCGGCATCCAACGGTGTTAATGTCTAACTTCAACCAATCCACGAAGTTGTGCCACCGTACACCATTGTCTTCAGTGAGTTCCTATCTCACAACAGACCTGGTTGAACTCCACTGGTAACGGCTTCTCACTAGAACTTCGGGTAATAAATTGAGCATTGAGTAGATTAGTATAAATAAATAATACATTTGTAAAATCCCAATGAGTAGAAAAATTAGGTTTTCTGACGTTTCGTGACTCAGTGCAGGCTATTTCTTCAGAGAATAAATAACCGAACCAAAATCAATCCAAGTTTTAAACTTGGATGGTGATTCATTGATGATAACCACATGTAATCTTCTGAAAATTTATTTGAAAGCGCTCTTTTGTTCACAAATGTTTATCTCATTACAATGAGAATTTTTATAAAAATTACATTGATATATTAATATTCAATAGTAAATCTGATGAATTTATTACATTTGTCTGTAGGTATGTGTACAGTGAACGAATCAAAAGACTGACTTGTAAGCATTAAATATATAAGTGACTAGTATCAGTATGTAACTCACTGGAGACAATGATGGATGTGTCGCTCAATTTTGTGGATTAGTTGAAGTTAAACATTAACTCCGTTGGATGTCGGCCGGCTCAGTGGTCTAGTGGTTAAGTGCTCGCGTGCGAGACTGACATGTCCTGGGTTCGAATCTGACGAGGCGGGATCGTGGATGAGCACTACTGAGGAGTCCCACAATAAGATGAAATGACCCTACAGTGCTTCCAGGTTTTCCATGGTGGTCTAGCTTTAATTGACTCATGATCTCAACCATTAAAATATAAGTGACTGATGATCAACTACAATTTGAAAGAATAAAAGTTGTGAATTTTAAAGTCAGTAAATGAATAACAGAAATGATCTTAAATCCCAGTAAATGATAACATAGGAGTATAAGATCCATTCATTAGTATGTGGGTGATCATAATCACGTAACTGCAAATTTATTATTCAGCATTATTGATTAGATTAAACTAACTCTATTGAAATGTGTATGCTCATATATCATTTGCATTGGTAAAAATTTATTATTATTATTGTTATTAATTATTATTATTAATGGCTTTACTCAACATTATATTTTGGTACAATATAGAATTGTGTATGTATGTGTATTCGTTTGTGTGTGTGTGTGTGCAGAGAAACAGTTAAGAAAGTTGATTTATCTATCATGGCCTTACTTTCTTTTATATCTTCGTATTTTTCTTAATGCTTCATTTTATTTCTGTCCTTCTATATTTTTATAGTGTACGTGAAATTTTGTCATTATATCAAAATATTTTAGGTAGAACTCCTCAAATTCACTCACTGGATTAATATTATTATTACACGATCACCTTATATCAGTCGCTACTCTCATTCACAACGATATTCTTCCCCTATCTACATGAAATATAATACAACAATTTTTATATTCGTAGTCCCTTAAATATTCCATACTTCTGAGTCAATCTAAATATTTCCTCAGTACAGAATGACGTATTAGATATAAGCGAACAATTTATGTTTTTATTATGATTGTCAATTACTATGTACATTCATACTAATACACATAAAACCATCATTACATTGAATTTTTGACATTAACACGTTTGCACAACACCTGAAAATAAAGTCGTCAGAAAGAAAAAAACGTTTCCTCCGGAATATTATCCTTCTTCAAATATGAATTAATTAATTCATTCTGAACAAATCAGAAGTTTTCTGAACGTTACTAATAACGAATAAACTTGAGTAGAATGAAAATCACTATAATAGTTTCAGTCAATAGAACCTTTGATTTAATTTGAATCAGGCAATGATAGATCCTACAAACAAACTTATTGTAGGACTCTTCAGTAGTGCTCATCCACGATCCCGCCTCGTGAGATTCCAACCTAGGACCTGTCAGTCTCACACGCGAACGCTTAAACACTCCTATGTTATCATTTACTGGGATTTAAGATCATTTCTGTTATTCATTTACTGACTTTAAAATTCACAACTTTTATTCTTTCAAATTGTAGTTGATCATCAGTCACTTATATTTTAATGGTTGAGACCATGAGTCAATTAAAGCTAGACCACCATGGAAAACCTGGAAGCACTGTAGGGTCATTTCATCTTATTGTGGGACTCCTCAGTAGTGCTCATCCACGATCCCGCCTCGTCAGATTCGAACCCAGGACATGTCAGTCTCGCACGCGAGCACTTAACCACTAGACCACTGAGCCGGCCGACATCCAACGGAGTTGATGTTTAACTCCAACTAATCTACAAAATTTAGCGATACATCCACCATTATCTTCAGTGAGTTACTATCTTACAACAGACCGGTTGAACTCCACTGGTCATCGCCTCTCACTAGAACTCTGGGAAATACCTCTTGGAGACCATCACTAGTGAGCGTATGTGGATGGTGGTCTTGTTTCAACTGATTAGTG